CCCAGGGAGGTGGTTGAGTCCCCATCCCTGGAGGTATTTAAAGGAAGGATAGATGAGGTGCTCAGGGACATGGTTTAGTGGTGGGATGGCAGGGTTAGGTTAACGGTTGGACTTGATGATCTTAAAGGTCTTTTCCAACCTAGACGATTCTATGATTCTATAATAACACCAATGCTGATGCTAATGCTATTGGTACTGGTATAATACCATTAAAGGTAGCTGAACACTAACATCCCTTACTATGTATGTTTTGATTATAGATACTGAAGTAGAAGGATCCAGCTGAATGCCTGAGCCCCTTGGCTCGTTACTCATTTGATCTGACTCATTTCCCCCTCAGCCACTTCCCTTCTGCTGGTTCCCTGGCTGCTCCTGGCATTGCTGCTTACAGCCTCTGCCATCTGTGCCAAGGCACGCTCTCTCACGGTGCAGACTGCTTTCCTGAGCATGCTGGGTCACACAGCAGGCTTTCACCACCTTTGCTATCAAATTGCTGATGCCAAACCCCCTCAACACCCCCAAAAAACCAACCCATCCCCACAAACCTCCCATCCCCAACCCAGCCACTGTAACTACATAATCAGGCCTAGCAATAGTGGATCATAATTATTCCCAAAAAAGTGTAAAGCTTTTTGCATGATGCTAGTAATTTTTAGCTCTCCTTTCCCATTGTTGCTCTTCCATCAAGTTTCTTAAAGCTCAGTAGTGTTAGAAGATGAAGAGGATGCATTTTGTTTCAAGAAAGACAAGTTCTTAAAAACCCCACCACATGGAGGTGTGTGACTAGACTTACGTCTCAGAAGCAGCAGCTAGTTTGATTCCCAAGAGCAACTAATTGTGGTGCAGGGGGAGTGAGGTGCATGCCTCAATCTTTCTAAGCATAACTTGCTAGACTGAGATTTACTGTGAGGGTTTTTTGTGTTTTTTGTTTGGTTGGGTTTTTTAAGGTTACGTAGTATGCCCTCAGGAGACGAGAGGGGAGGCAGACATTCTGTAGGACTCTTTTCAAGCAGTCTTTCTAAAGATTTTTCTTCTCCATGCAGCAGCTACGCAATAGTGTGACTGCTAGAAATAGAGTAAGCTTAGGCCTGTAGAAATTTATTAGAAATTTGTCATTAATTTAATTAAGGGTAGGGCTGCACCTGAAATATATTAAGTTTAGTTTCCTTCAGCCACCCTAGGCTTTTAGTCTTGAGTCATATTTTTTTTTTTTCTTCAATTTGAAACTTTCTATGTAGAGACATCTATTTTCAGGCTTACATTCATTTCTTCTCAGGTCCCTTCCTTGTAGTAAAGTTAAAAAAGCTGCTCTAAAAAAGATACTGATAACAGAGAATCTTACAGAATCACAGAATGTTTTGGGTTGGAAGGGACCCCTAGAGGTCATCTAGTCCAACCCCCCTGCAGTGAGCAGGGACACTGCTAACTAGAACAGGTTGCTCAGAGCCCCGTCTTATGAATAAGATTGTTCTTTAAGAGCCAAGTAATTCAGGCCACTAAAATGATGCAAGAGGCTAAATTCTAGCTGTGGTTACATACATAATCACTTCATTATTTTCAGGCAAAACTTTACTAGCAAAAATAAACTATCTTTCCATGTTGCCTCCAACCCAAAGGCTGCGAGATGGAGGGAGGTTCTGCAAGGCAGAGTTAGTATTGAGTCCTCAGGGCAAGGAGGTGGGTTAGAAGTCTTGGACATTCACTTCCACCTCTTTCTTTGCCAAACAACATTCAGAATTTTTCCATTTTTGCTTCGTAGAAAAGTAACTTCATACTTTATAGCTTAGAGCTTTATCTGGAAACTAAAATGAGTTGTTTCCTTGTAGTGCTGTGGCATTTGCAGTGTCTGCAGATGGACTGAATGGGTCTCCAAATGGGTGATACGTTTCTTTGACCTGAATGTTGTAAGCATTTGTATATGTTAGATAACAAATCACCATCATCTGAAGTAAAAACACCCCCCCAAAAGGAATTCTACTGCAAACACTCCTTCTTTAGACAGAATAAAAAAATCAACCAGCAGATTATATACATTAGCTACATTACTTAGTACTTTTATCACCAGGTAGACAGGCATTGCATTGATGAGCATAGCACGAGAACCTCCTTATGACTTTGCAGATCCATCCCTTACAACTCAACTGTTACTGTGGAACAGTGAGATATTTACTTTCAAGCTACTGTAAAAAATAAAACCCAAAACCTAACAGAATCCAATATGAGAGGCACTTAACTAGTGATGTTCCGTACAAATACCTTCAGTTACTGCCATGGGTGTTTTATTGGATCAAAGTGCAAATGGACTTGCTTCCTAGTTGAACAGAGTTTAAGCCAAGAAGCATGATGAGAGTCTAGGTTGACTCTCTCTATACATAAGTTGTGACGTTTCAGACCTTTTCCAACTGAGATAGGAACTGAACTCCACAAGATCTTGTTCTTCCCTTGTTCTCAGAAGGCAGCAGTGAACAACACCCCTTACAGATGAGGCTGGTGGTCTCCAGTCTCCAGGATTTAGCTGTCTCTTTCCAGCGAAAACCTAGACCAGCTGTGTAACTATGTTTTGCACTGTCAGGATCTGGTCTTGGCTGACAGGGCAAAAGGAAGAAGTGCCAGTTAGCCCTGAGAGGCAACCAGGAGTAGCTTCCTAAACCACGTCTCGACTGTGGCTCAGCATCTATCCCCACAGCATGTCAAAAGCTATAAAATGGTCTGCCAAACCCGAGTAGGCTTCAAAATACAGACATTTTAGTATGGACTTTGTGCAACAGGCAAATAAGGACAGAATACTGGGCTCAGACCCAGGCCACATAGCTTAGAGATGAGATTTCCTGTTACAGAATGTTAGAAGTGTCCTGAAAGCCAATTTTAGGATAGCATTGCTTCCTAACCGGAGATCCAATATAAAGCTTGAACACAATCACTTTCCCTTGCAGAGTTGTATATGAGCAGCTTTTACATTGAGCAAAAGGGGGAAAGTATGGCTCTAGGGGACTCCCTACTAGCTCTGCAGAATTCTCATGATAATTTATCGTCTGGGTTCAGAAAAACAGTAAGGACAAGACCAGTGTTGTAAAAGAACAAGAAATCATGGTGTGTAAACGGAATTGTGAAGCAAGCCTTCTATAAAGAGTATTAGTTGCATGTCTGACACAGTAATTATGCAGGGTGGAACTCATGAACCAGCAGATACAGATAATGTAATGTGGCATTCTGTAACAGAAACATTATACATCAGAAGTATGAGTAAAGTGGATACCTTGAACTCATTTGGTGTTGCAGAGATTAATTCAGATCCAACTGCCAACCAGCGAGCATACAGTGTTGCCACATACCCGATTCTTCAATACAATTACTGTGATACATATATGAGTGCTATGTGTAATAATCAGTTTATTAGGAGAAGCAATTACTCAAGAAAAACCCCCACCTGCCTCTCAGACAAAAAGCCTTTTTTAAAAAGACAGGATACACAGACTAGGACAGATATTTCAGATTTGGTGTTGTAGTCCTGGTGTTCAGGAAGCAGAACAAAGCTCTCAGGCAGCCGATACCAGTGCCCTCCCATGTCCACAGCCTGTGTCAGTGCTGCAGCAAGAAAAGCGTAAACCACGCAACTACCGTGGCATCTGTAAATCTACAGAATTCCAGATAACCAGGCACTTACTTTTGGTTATGTCAGACTCAGCCATCAGAGTAAACTGATTTCTGAAACACCTGCCAAAAATCTGGTGATGATCACAAGTTTTACTTCAAAGGCCTGATCAAGTGTTTTGAAGAACTCCTGCTCATGAACTCTGTCAGACTTGCTGGGAAGAAACAATACAGTCATTTGAGTAAGAGTACACCTTAAAACCACTTTCTATTTTCCTCTCTCCTCACCAAGATTCTTTTGCCCCTATATTTATTTTTCTTCCTGTTTCCAAAACCTGTGGTTTTGCTTTTTGTGTTACTAAGCATTAATTAATATTGAGACAAGGTCCGTGGAAAGCTCAAACGAATGAGAGAAATGCTGCTTTGGCTAGACTTGCATTCCGTGTGATTTTCTCTAACAGTAGTCCCGAATGAAGTCTCATTGTACTACATCCACATCCAGAGGCAGTTAGTGTCACAGAAGGTAATATGCAGTTTATGAACTGAAAACTAATACACTAAACAGTGCTTGTTCATGACATTTCAAATCCTAAGAAAATAACTCCATTAGCTCTTCAAGGCCTTGGTAATGAATATCCAATCAATGACAAAAACAGCCCACGGAAATAATAACCCAAACCATCTTATTTGTAGTGTTTTGTCAAAGAATTACAGAATACACACTGAATTTGTTTTCTTAAGGCCTGCCAAATGTGTAAGATGTTTTTCATTAAACAAAAATTAAACAAATAAATTTGTAAAAAAAATGTACTTACCTCCACTACATACTGAGAATTTGATCAGTATTATTTTCCTACTGTGTTGATCTAGCCCTTTCGATTCCATGGAAGTGAAGCCTGCAGTGAAGTCATACAGAAGAATTTAAAGATACTCATATTGGCAGGAACCTTCAGGAATCAGAGTTTTAGGTGATCCATCAGAATGAGTTTCACACTCATAACACCAGTGTCTGGCATGCCAGCAAAGAAAAGTGTGTTTCTGTATTAGCCTGGGGCAGATACTGCATTCAGACGGATAATTAAAGTGAAGCACACTCTCTTTTTTTGTAAGAAGACTGCTATTCATGTGTTTTGTCTTTGATATTCAAAACAATGGAAATATTTTATTTTGTTTTTCTATTTCAGGCCTATTCTGTCTGAGAGAAATGAGTTGCTCATTCAGTTTTTGTCTGATTTAAGCTTAACAGCTGATGGTTTTATTGGCCATTATAAATTTAGACCAAAAAAGTTACCTACAACTACTGTTCCGCCTACTACCACAACAGTCCCTGCTACCTCAAGTAAGTTTTACTGGCTTTTTTTTATTTCTTAGAAAAATAAACAATTCCAGAACAAGGAGAGGGTTACAGAAAAATGTCATAAAATGTATCGTCATATACTCAAGGCAGAATCTACTTAACATTATTAAAAGGAAATCTATCCAGGCAAGACTTCAGTCTAACAGTAACTCGCACCAGTTGAGAGAATTTTCCTGTCTCTTCTCCCTTTCTGACAGTTAACTAGCAAATTTCATAGAAGAATGAACAAAATTCTTTTGTATAAGAAGTTCTAAATATTTTCAGAAATAGTTTTATTTAAAAGAACTCTTCTAGACAAGTTAGTATGTAAAAACCTGACCATATTTTTCTTCATGTAACTATTAAGATCAAGGAAAATTGGTATAGAAGCCACCTGAGCCTTCTTCAGATTCTGTCAACATCCTGTCAACATGACACAATTATTTTTATTTTAAAAATTAGGCAATGGAACTTATAAAGAAATATGTTGCACTGTAAGTAACTTTCCTTTTATGTTCAAGACTAGACAGCATATATGAAAGATCAGAGGAGGATTTTTCTGAAGGTATTGTCAAAACTACCTCATTACTGAGATATTTGAAGGCATAAATTCTTACAGTTTCTATAACCTGAATGTGAGAGATTTAAGATACAGTTATAGCAGAAAACCAAATTATTTATGATGTTTTTGCAACACATAACCTGAATTGTACTTAAAATGCATCAAGTCAGGACA